CTGAGCTGGGCGGTTTCCTTGCAGACGTTTCATGACCCAACTAGGGAACAGCATCAGTGCTAGGAGGAAATGGGGGGGGGGTTAGGAGGAGGAGGAAGAGAAAGGAGAAGGAATAAAGGAAAGAGGAGAGGAGGAAGGAAGGAAGGAAGGAAGGAAGGAAGGAAGGACGGACTGTGGGGTCCCTGGTGCCCCCTGAGCTGGGCGGTTTCCTTGCAGACATTTCATGACCCAACTAGGGAACAGCATCAGTGCTAGGAGGAAATGGGGGGGGGGTTAGGAGGAGGAGGAAGAGAAAGGAGAAGGAATAAAGGAAAGGGGAGGGGAGGGAGGGTGGAAGGAAGGAAGGAAGGAAGGAAGGAAGGAAGGAAGGAAGGAAGGAAGGAAGGACTGACTGTGGGGTCCCTGGTGTCCCCTGAGCTGGGTGGCTTCCTTGCAGACATTTCATGACCCAACTAGGGAACAGCATCAGTGCTAGGAGGGAATGGGGGGGTTGTGGAGAAGAGGTGGAGGAGGGAGGGAGGGAGGAAGGAAGGAAGGAAGGAAGGACTGTGGGGTCCTTGGTGCTCTCTGAGCTTGGATGTTTCACGACCCAGCTAGGTAACATCATCAGTGCTAGAAGGGAGGGAGGGTTGTGGAGAGGAGGGGGAGAAAGGGGAAAAGAAGGCATGAAGGGGGGGAGGAGGAGGGAGGGAAGGAAGGAAGGAAGGAAGGATGGAAGGAGAAGGAGTGTGGGGCCCTTTTGGGCTCTCTGAGCTTATTCCTGAGGGAGGGAGGAAGGAAGGAATGGATAGAAGGAGAGAAGGAACATAGGTGAGGGGGAAGGAAGGATAGAAAGGAAGGACGGATGGAAGGCAATAACAGGGAGTGGGGAAGGAGGGAGGAAGCAGAGAAGGGCGGGAGAGAGAAAGTAGAGAGAGAGGATGAATAGATGGAAGGAAGGAAAGAAGGGTGGATGGGTGAAAGGAAGGAAGGAAGGAAGCGGAAGGACAGGTGAAGGAGGGATGGATGGATGGAAGGAAGGAAGGAAGGAAGGAAGGAAGGAGAGAGGGTGAGAGAGAGTAGAGAGACTGGATGGGAAGATGAAAGGAAGGAAGGATGGACCATGGTAGCACAGTGGTTAGAATGCCACATTGCAGACTATCTCACTGCCGACTGCCAACAGTTCGATCCTGACCGGCCGAAGGTTGACTCAGCCTTCCATCCTTCTCAGGTGGGTAAAATGTGGACCCAGATGGTTGTGGGGCAAGAGGCTGACTCTGTAAACCGCTTAGAGAGGGCTGGGAAGCCACTGGGAAGCTACACATACACGCTAGCGCTATTTTTTTGGTTCCAGGTGCGAGAGAAGGTGAACGCCATGGTCAAGAGCGCCATTGTGCATTACCGAGATGACCTGGACCTCCAGAACCTCATTGATTTTGCTCAGAAGGAGGTAGGGTTTGGTTGGGACCGCCTGGTCTTTCTTTGGTCTTCGGAACCCAACC